CAAGCTCCTTATGCTCCCTAATTGGGCTCATAAGCTCGCTCGTTTGAGATCGCGTTCATCAGATCGTTCAGATTGCATGACTCAGACTCTCAAGTCGAGCCCTTATCAGATCACGATCATCTCTTAGCTCTCAGATCGCGATCAACTCCTAGCTCTCAAATCGCGATCAGCTCTTAGCTCTGAGATTGTGAACAGCCTCAAGTCGTGTTTTCAACTCTCAAATCGCGATCAGTTTTCAGATCGTGATCAGTTGCCAGCGTTAGAAAAAACGCAGAGAAAACTCAAAACAGCCCCAAAATCGTTGAGATCACGCATTCAGATCACTTAGATCGTGCTTCCAAGAGACCAATCGCGTTTCTAAACGCTTAGATTGCTGATCTTGTGTTCTTAGATCAAGCTTTGCGCTTTCTGATTGAACTCTTTAAACTCTTAGATCGGAAAGAGCTCGCGAGTTCTCAGATCGAACTCTTTATGCTCTCAAATCGAGCTCTTTATAATCTTAGATCGAGCTCCTTATGATCTTAGATTGAACTTCTTATGATCTTAGATCGAGCTCCTTATGATCTCAGATCAAACTCCTTACGCTCTTTGATTGGGCTCATAAGCTCGCTCGTTTGAGATCGCGTTCATCAGATCGTTCAGATCGCATGACTCAGACTCTCAAGTCGAGCCCCTATCAGATCACGATCATCTCTTAGCTCTCAGATCGCGATCAACTCCTAGCTCTCAAATCGCGATCAGCTCTTAGCTCTGAGATTGTGAACAACCTCAAGTCGTGTTTTCAACTCTCAAATCGTGATCAGTTTTCAGATCGTGACCAGTTGCCAGCGTTAGAAAAAACGCAGAGAAAACTCAAAACAGCCCCAAAACAAGTCGAAACTATGGAATTTGGCCCCGAAAATGGCCCCAATTGAGTTTCCCAATTGCCACGACGTAGAGCTCAGAACAAGCTTTCCGTGGATATTTTACGGGCTCCAAAACTCCTCTCGGATCAAAAGTTATGGTTATTTTAAGTTGGCTTGTCTGTTTAAGGCCTCTAAGTCGTGCATTTGGGCTTCTGGCGTTAGCTCCCTCCAGGAATTCATCTACTGGACATTTCATGTTAGTTATCAGATCCCACTCAGCTTCGGATAACTCCAAGCTCTCAGATCGCAGTCCTAGCTCTCAGCACCCGATCACGCCAAGCATAGTTTTCAATTCGAGACTACAGTCTATAGTACGACAGCCATTCAAATCAAAGACCTGATTTTTTGAAGCGTGATTACGCACTGTAAAAAACTTGGGGGAAGGGGGGGGGGGGGTTGTTGTACCTAAAAAGTCACACTGATGTCAACTCAACAAGTGCCTAAAAGACAAAGTGTACTAGCTGTCAAGCCTATACCACCTCAAAGATATTTATATCAACCCTATCTCATTTTAAGAGATGGATGGAAGAGTGCTTTCCATGTGTCAAGGCAACTTGCAAAACACTCATTACATTGACCTCAAATGTGTATAAATGGGCACCTCTCTTCATGAAAAATAAGGTTTTTGGGCAGATAAGAGATGGGCATAGATTTGAGCTTCATTTCATTAGTTTTTCTCTGTAAACAAAGTTTTTCTCCATTCTTTGTACACCTTACAGGGAATATCATAAAAGTCACTCTGATGTCAACTCAACAAGTGCCTAAAAGACAAAGTGTACTGGCTGCCAAGCCCATACCGCCTCAAAGATATTTATATCAACCCTATCTCATTTTAAGAGATTGACAAAAGAGAGCTCTCCATGTGTCAAGGCAACTTGAAAAACACTCATTACATTGACCTCAAATGTGTATAAATGGGCACCTCTCTTCATGAAAAAGGGGGTTTTTGGGCAGATAAGAGCTGGACATAGATTTGAGCTTCATTTCATTAGTTTTCCTCTGTAAACAAAGTTTTTCTCCATTCTTTGTACGCCTTACAGGCAATATCACAAAAATAGTCAGAGAATAATACAATCACAGTGGACGTAGGATTCGCTTTTGAGCATTCGAACCACTATAAAAATCGTCTTTTATTTACTCTCTTGTTACATATTTCCATATCACGTATAACTTCTAAGCCCGCTTAGCATTTTGCACGTGTGAGTCATTAGTATCGAAATCAAGCATCAACAGAATTAGAATAGTCAAAGGTTGTATTCTAATAAGAAATTGTTAGTTTATCAAATTATATTAGGGCTCTAAAAAGTCTTTGTACAATGTATAAAAGGCTTGTTACAGAGTTATTCAAGAAATGTGTGAAGACGCACAAAATAGTGAGCAGTAGGTGAGCAAACTAAGACTTAAGAGCTTAATAAAACTGAGAAGGGAGATAATCTTTGAACAGTAGGCGGGCTGAATTATTCTTGTCTCGTAAGTTTGTAATTTCTTATTTCTTCATAATGGAAGTTCATCAACAACAAAGGATGTAGGTTCACATTATTGTGAGTGAAACCACTTAAATTTTTGTGTTTTCTTTCATTGCTTTATACATTTTTTACAGTCTACCAAATTCATCTTGTTTTGTGTTAACCTACGACCTTGGGAGCGGCCAAGTAAGATGTGCACGTGGTTACTGGTAACCAACGAAGTCAATAAAACAAGAACAAAAAGAGAATTTTATAGTGGTTCAATTGCACCAAGACCAAGCCTCATCCACTGCTATGTTATTTCTTAGAGGTGTTACAAGATCGAGAGAGATTAAAAGGGAATTGGGCGCGAGCTAAAAGGAAGACATTTGACTCTCACGACCTTTTCTCTCTTAACGCTCTTCTACATGTATGATGTGTTTTCCTTTTGAACTTTACTAAAAATTGGAATTCATCCCTTAAAACGGAGGTTGTGGGTTCCTTTTATACTTGGTTCATCTGATAGTGGTTGAGAGTGAGTATTACGGGGTTGCTTGCACGCATAATCTCCTTAATAAGGGTCTAAGTTAGTAATCTCCATGCTTGTGACAAACCGGGTCATGTTAATGGTAGCTTAACCCATGTTTGTGACAGTAATCATCTTGTGAGAAAAGATAAGCTTTGATAGGACGACACGTGGGAGAATCCTAACTATTAGGCTTTGATACACCTTAAGGATGCATGGCACAAATTTGACCGCTAGGAAATTAGCCACAACACAACAGTAATGACATTTAAGTAATTACACAAATAAAATGGTATATAGAACAATGTAACTGAAAGAATCAAATAAAAAAGTAACATAGTTAATAAGATATTGAAACATGGCAATCAATTGATCTATATTTAGTAAATTAACTTTACATTTGTTAAAACATTAAATAATAAATTAATTTTATATTAGAAAATGTTATGCAATTTATATAACTTTATAACTCACTTTCTCTGAGATTTCAAATTTGTTAATAAAGCCCTTACTTGATCTTGATGGGAGATTAGACTATGTTTTAGGTTACAATGTGTGAGGATTAGTTTAGCTTTTTATTTATGTAGCTTTGTTACTTTAAGAGATGTATTAAAATATATATGCTAGAATGTATTTTTGTTGTGTTTTGGATGTGTAATTGATTAAAAATGGTGTTTGATTAGGTTATGGGATCGAAACAGATAGTGTTTTATCTTGCTCCAATTCTTATGCATTTTGTGTAAGTTTCGCTCTAACTCTTGTACATTTCACGTAAGCTTAGGCAAACAAGATAATTAATCTTATAAATCAATAAATAATATTACACTCACAACCTAACCTTACAATCTTCTCTTACAACTCCAACGTGGCAGTTGAGTTGACAACTGTCATGTTAGCTCTCATCACACCCAAGACACTAAATGACTTTGACTAGACACGAATTATCATTTTTTAGGGACGAACGACCATTCTTTCATAAGGAGTAGTTGCTCCTTATGAAGGAACAACATTCATCCCTGAGGAATGGTCGTTCCTTCAGGAGGAACAACTGTTCCTTATGAAGGAACAAGGAATGTTTGTTCCTTATGAATGAACAATTCATGAGGAATGATTATTCTTTATGAATGAACGGTCGTTCGTTCCCAAGGAATGACCGTTCGTCTCTAAGGAACAATCGTTCATATTTAATCAAAGTCTTTAGCTGACGTGATAATGTCAACTCTACCGCCACGTTAGGGCTGTAAGAGAAGATTGTGAAATTGGATTGTAAACATAGTATTTTTATAAATCAATACGCATAAGCTTATGAGTTTGTGAATTGGGAAGCTTACCCAAAGGAGCAAACTACATGCTATTTTGCCCACTTTTCATAGGTTTACCAATTTTTTTAACTTTTGAACTTGTTTATCATTTATTTTATATTTATATGCATACTCATTTAACTACGAAGAAGAGGAAAAGAGATAAATAAATTCCTTTTAAGTTTTAACTACCAAAAAAAAAAGTTGTAATTTAATGTGGTAATAATAATTTGTATTAAGTAATAGATGATAAAGAACATACGTAAAAGGGAGAGTGACGAAAATGAACCATCATTGGGTGGCTTGATAGTAAAAGAATAAAAGAAGATTTCACGAGTTTTTAAGTTCGAGTCCCTCTAAACACTAATACAGGTGGCACTTGAGCGCTTATCCGATCGACAGTTTTAAGACTTTACGAGATTAGTTGAAGTTCATGCAAACTGACTCAGACACCCTTGGTGATTAAAAAAAAAAGAGTGAGAGTGACGAAAATGGAAAATATTTAGCTTGAGTCAGTAGTATGAAATGGGTTGAAGGAAATGGAGAAAGGTTGAGACTGAGTGTTTAAATCAGGGGTATTACAGTAATAAAATAAATAGTATAGTTATTTTCGTTTTGGTCATTTGAAACGTGGTTAATTCCACTTAAACCCCTAAAATTGGTTAATTTCCGATAAAATTAAAAAAAAAAATCCCCTCTCTCAAGTTTCATAATCATTCGTGTCGTAAACGAAGGAGGCACTTGACTTCATTATCCCAACTCACAGAAAAACAGAAAAAAAGTCGATGTAGATAACAAATATCTTTAAGTTGTAGATAACAAGGATCCAAAACGTTATCACTTATCAGCCCGTGATAGGTATTTTATTATAAAGACATAAACATTAGATTAAAAATATATACTAAAATTATCTACTCTTCTCCTAAGAAAAAGATGGTGGGCTTCTTTGGTTCCATGATCTCCACCGTTCCTTCCAACATCTTAGCAACTTTTCCCATTGATGGTCTCATCTCCGGCCGATCTTGAAGGCACCACATTGCCGTCTTCACCATGCGATCCACCATATCAAAATGCAACCGACTATCATAAGAATTCTTAATGTGACGGTCCAAAATGTCCTCCACTTTCATCTCTTTAAAAACCTTATCAAAAGCCCACATAGGAAAATACCACTCTTCACTATGTATCAAGGACCCTCGCATCTCAAAATTTCTCGACCCACTTACAATTTCTAACAACACCATTCCGAAACTGTAAACATCTGCTTTCGGGGTAATTGGATCCGATTTTACCCATTCGGGTGCCATGTATCCGCGAGTCCCTCGGATTCTAGACATACTCACCATATGCTCTTTTTTCCTCAATTTGGCTAGCCCGAAATCAGAAATTTTCGGGCAAAAATCATCCCCGAGAAGTATGTTTTCGGGTTTGATATCGCAATGTAAAACCCACTCCAAACACTCTTCATGTAAATATGCAATTGCTCTTGCCACCCCAAGTGCAATCCGATACCGGATATTCCAATCAAGAACGGGCTTTTCTTGATCGTTCACGACCGGATCCAACTTCATTCCGGGTATGGAAGACCCAATTTGACCCACCCGAAAGAGATACTTATCAAGAGATCCATTTGGAACATACTCGTAGACGAGTATCCTTTGACCTTTCTCGGCACAGAAGCCCCATAATCTAACCAAATTCAGGTGGTGCATACGGGCAATAATTGTGACCTCAGCCCAAAACTCGGCATCGCCGCCAGTGACATGACTCAAACGCTTCACGGCAACAACTCGATGATCAGGCAATTCCCCTTTATAAACATCACCAAACCCACCTTTTCCGATAAGATTCGAGAATCCATTAGTGGCCGCGTTCAGCTCTGAAAAAGTGAACCTCTTCGGCCCACCGGCGGGCAACAATTCAAGCCCAAGAGTGCGAGCCATGTCTCTATATTTGATATACTTCTTCAAAAACGCCCAGAAGAACAACGCCCCAGAAATCAGCTCAGCTGCAAAAAGCGTACACACAATTATGATATTCCTCGTCGTGGAGTTGGAATCTTTCGGCGGTTGCGGGAGGCTAATTTTCACAGGACATGTCGTTTCCAACAAGCTGGTCATGCCAGTGAAGTTTGAGACATCTTTTTCCGACTTGTCCACCCGCAAAAAGAATGTCATTTCAGTGCCCGGAGACCAATACCCGTATAGTAATTTGTCCTGAATAACACAATAGCCTTGTCCGTCGTACTTGAATCCGAATCCGAGACATTTCGGGTTCTTCAAGCAACTTGATTCACAGAGAGAAAAATTGGCAACATTGAGACTCGTTTGGTTGGAGCCACCGGAAAAGTTAACATAATCAAGAGGTAAAAACATGGTGTTTCCCAGATTTTTTAGCTGAATTTTCCTTTCACAGGAACTGTTAGCTTGACCGGAGCTGTTCTTGAACCCCGGTGGGCAAACACAGGAGGTTGAATCCGAGCCTGAGGCGTCGTTTACGCATATAGCGTTTTCTCCGCAGACGCCATGAACTGTACACAGTTCTTGAACGGCTTGCCACACTGGTGTCCATTTATTTAGACTCTGATCAAAACTGTAAATTCTCAGATTACCATCGTCGTCAAGTTTCAATCTTCGCAACCGGGCAGCGCCAAAATCCGCTGAAATGAATGAAGCTGAATTCGCTTGTGTCATCTGGCCATCTTCGTCAAGAACTTGAAACCTATTATCCGAGCTCCAGTAACTGTCATTGGAAGAAAGAAAGACCAACACCGACCCATTCAAGAAGTTGAATTGACTATTATTGGAGACTAGTTTCGTGCTGGGAGTAATGGTTTGATTCGGCAAGATTGTGTCGGTAGGAAGATCAAAACTCTGCCATTTATCGTATACAAGATTGCCGTTATCTTGTAACACGAGTTTAGAAGAGTTTTGGTTACCTGATGTTGTTCCGGGCCACAAGTTGGAGCCGGAGGCGTTGACCAGGCGGAGCTGACTGGTGTTGGAGATTAGAAGAGAGGCGTTGGAGTTGAGAGGGGAGTTGGGATCGTTGGCGGACCAGACGACGGTGGTTTGGGATATGTTGAGGTACCAAACGGAGAAGGTGAAGCGGTCAGGGGAAAAGGGGAGACGTTGGAAGCCGGCGGCGAAGCGGGAGTTGGGAGAGAGGAGGAGTTTGTTGTCGGTGGGACGCCATGGTGAGTCTAAGTAGGAGAAGGAAGAGAGGTTTTGGGAGAATGAAGGGGAAGGGAGTGTTGAGATGAGGAAGAAGAAGAAGAAGAAGAGAGACATGTGATAGGCTTAGGTTTGTGTTTTGGATGTGAAATGTGAAGCACTGGAGAGTTGAAGGTGGTGAAGATATTTAATGGCGGCTTTGAAGGATTGAATGGCCGTTGCTGCGTTTACCAACGACTGTTGACTCTAGTCTCCAGAGCTTTTGGTTCTAACTTTTAAGGTAGAAAAATTTACATATCGAAGTTATAACAATTATTAAAAAGTTAATAATATTAATTCTCTTCAAATAATAAAAAATTTCTTATGATTATGAACTGATAACGAGCCATTGAATTTATAGCGTTATAAATTAATAAATATTATCAAATTATATTCTTATAATTTATTTTAATATTTAATAATAGAGAAATTCTAATTATTTTTAAAATCTCGAGAAATTTTTTGTTATTATGAGTGAGTAATGTTTAGATATTAATTAATTTCACATTATATTAATTAATTTCACATTAATCTTCTATGTTTTTGGAATTATTATAGCGTGATCTTCGAGGAAATATCAGTAGTGCATTGTTGACAGAAAGGGGTCACAATAGTAATAATCAAGTTAAAATAAATTTAGATATAAACAAATTTCTTAATTGATTAATTTACGTAGACTGAATCAACCATCAAACACTCAATTAATTTGATCAATTTTCAAATCAGTCAGCTACAAATCAAAGAAAAAAGTTAAGGGTTTTTGTTTTTATAAACACAAAGTCAAAACTGAAAAACATAATTAAAAGATTAATTGTAACCATTTAAAAAAAATCTATACAGAAATCTTTGAACTTAGAAACAAGATAAATTTTCTTACGTTATTTTTTTTTTTAAATTGATATTTAGATAATAGCAAATTGGAGGGCCCTATAAGGTCTCTTTAATTTTGCATCAATTGATTAATGCGTATATTTACTGGGTTGACTTGAGACTGGACCACGGATTTCCATTAAATAATGCAACCAGAAAGGACAATGTGATGGTTGGATACGGCATTAATATTTAACTTAGGAGAAGATATGAACTTTCAATAATGGTGACTTAGGGACACGAGAGTAAGAGAACAAGACTTTGACTGCGGGAAAACGACTTACACCTACCCAGAGTTTGTTATAAAAATTAATTGATACCCAAAAAGTTTTAAAATGACAAATATCCACCTCCTATCCAAATCCGTTAGTAAAATACATTAAGTAAAATGGTATTATTGGTATTCTATCATCTTTGTAAAGTAAATTTAACTTTCAGGGTTTGTACATAAAAAAATTAAAAAGTAAAAAAAAAAAAAATTTGCATTAAGAAAACATTAAAAAATCCGTCCAAATCTCTTTCTTCTTCTTTTCCCCTTCTCTTTCTTTCCTTTCTTCTCCCTCTTTTTCCTCCGGTCACTAGGCAAGAAACCGGCATCAGAACATGGACTAGAAGCTGGCCAGATCAAAATCCTTTCTCCTCTCTCTCTTCCCGTCTTCATCTTCTTCATCTCTATCATAAAAGGGCAAAAAAAAAAAAAAAAAAATGGGGGTCTTTTTAGAGTTTTGATTTTGGTTTTTTTGTTTTGTTTTGTTTTGTGTTTTTGTTTGTGGGTGTGGTGAATCGGGGCTAATTTTGGGATACCCATCCCCCCATCCTCGTCATCACTTCCCAATCGTCGCCGCCTCACCATTTGGGTTTTGCAAAGCTGTCGCACTTCCCCACCCATTTTCCAGAAGCCCCCATCATCGGAAACCTTTCCTCTCCCTGCCAATCTTCTTTTCGGTGTGCCCTCTTCAAAACCCCCATGTTTCTCGTCGCCATTTGCTCACCTTTCACTGTCGATTGAATTCATAGGGTTTTTGTTGTTTGTTGAAATGGGATTGATTGGTGTTTTTCGGAGTTTCTGATTGGAAATTGATTGTTGGAGATTAATTGGGAGAGTTTTTTCTGTGTTTTTGTTTTATTTTTTGGGATTTCCGATTGGTTTTGGCATTGATGATTGATTTTCCAAGTTTTGGCACACCACTTGTTTGAGGTTTTGCTAGTTGTTGTCCTAGTTCTAGCGATTGTGGTTCTGGTGAGAGGTGAGGAAGATGAAGATAGAATTTTAATTAAAATTAATTATAAAAATAAAATAATTGAAATTGAGAAGGAAGATTTTTATAAAATTAATATTATAGAGAGAAAATGGACATGTGGTCAATGGTGAATGCTATATTTTTTTTTTTGTTGGATATTAAATTATTATATTGTCCTTATTTAAACAGGCTTTACTAACAGATTTGAACAGAAGGTAGGTAATTTTCGTTTTCAAACTTTTTAGGTACCAAGTTGTCTTTATGGCAAACTATGGATGGGGCTTCCGCCTTTATTGTTGATTACTGATTTTGAATATGAGAGTATGTTACTTTTCAAACTCAAGAGGGGCTGATTACATTTTCATCCCTGAGAATTGGCTCACATTTTTTACCCCTCCACATTTAGAAAACTAATGCCGACATCCATTATTAGTGTGACTAGCCGTTGAAGTTTAACATATAAAGGGTATTAAAGTAATTACACAGTTAAGCATGAATTTCATAATAATCTCAATTATGAATTATATTAATATTTAAATGTGAAAAAAAAAATAGAGAAGGCCACGCCACATAGCCTGGAGCCCTCATTGGTGGAACGAATAATATGGTTGATTTTTCGGATTTTATTTTAGGGTTTTGAATGTGGTCTCTATGGTTAGTGCTTTTATTGAGTTTTTAATGTAAATAACCAAATTTTTGGGACCTACATAATTAATCAAAATTTCAAACCCTATACTCATATAACCACTAAATGTCATTTTTTTCAAAATTACCCTTGTATATAAGCAAAATTTTCTTCATTGTTCTCCCATTAAAAAAAAAAAACAGTTTGGAGCCAATTTTTATTTTCAAATTTTCACTCCTTTATTGCATTAATCACGTTATAGATTAATTACAATGAGCATTTTAATTGCACTTTGACTGATTTTTGGGTGACTTTGGTAGTGAGAATTTTAAGGAAGTTGTTGGATTTTTTAGTTTATGTAAGAATTTTGGGTTTGAGTTAAGGTTTTTGGATTTTAAATTTCAAGGGTTTTTGGGTTAATGTGATTATTGTTGTGGAAGTTATTGTTTTTATGAATGTTGTGAGTGTTGGTGGTGTGGGTGTTGTTGTGTTTGATGTAAATAAAAGTATGTTGGTTTTGTTTATGTTGGATTTAAGTAATTGCAGTTGATTCGACACTTACTGTGGGAAAATCCACCAATTGGTTTAAAAATAGAGTAACACTAGCCTTACAAAGAGGTATACAAAGAGACAATCCCTACCCTTAAAATTCATGATTGCCTCTCTCTCTCTCTCTCTTTTTCCCTTCTTTTAAGGGCAGAGATTGTCTCTTTGTATAGCTCTTTGTAAGACTAGTATTACTCTTAAAAATATGCCAACTGGTTTGAAGTGCAAATTTTGTCTTTTTTTTTTTTTTTTTTTTATTTGATAATCGGATCCCTATAGTCCATTGAACACCTGATGTGAATCCACCTTCAAGACATTCAAGCCCATCAATATTTATTTGGACCAAGACAAATCCATGAAGGAAAAGCCCAAGCATTTTAATTGGTTTCAATGTACTTGTATGGAGGGAAAACAATTCAAATGGAGTCAATTGGGAGCACATGGGTTCATTCAACGAGGAGACAAAGCTATGATAACTATGACATTTGTGTGGCTCAAGACATTCCATTTCGAGCAAAGACAAGGTTGTCCTTCTTGGGTGACTCAATGGCTCCTTCCATTAATAGTAATGTTGTCATAATTATCTTTTCATTGTCATTTGAATTTGACTATATAATTATCTCTTATGTGGCGTCCAATGTAATCCTATATAAAGGGGTCTTCCCCTTCGTTGTAATACAAGTTGAGATTGAATTTTTGGAATGAAAATGTGAGAGCTCTAGTGAGAGTTGTTCACTCTTATCCTTTATCCAAATTCCAAATTCCAGCCAAGATTTTGTGGTGGTTCTTCCTTGATTGGTAACTTTGGCTTTATGTCTTGGAGATATTGGCTTGTTAGTGATAACCATAGCCAGTAGCTTAGCTTTTACGTTATGGAGTTCATTGATATCTATCTTTAATTTGTAAGTTGTTATTTGTTGTGTCTATTTTTCATTGGCCAATGGTGTAACCTTTAAGTCGTGGATTGTTAGATCTTTATCATTTATGTTATCTTGTGTTAATTGTGTTATTAGTGATCTTCCAAAGCTGGTGGCGTAGCCTTTACGCTTGGAAATCATTGATATCCATCTTAATTTATTTTGTGTTGTTGTGTAGTTGTTTGTTATCTTTGTAAGTTGTTGTTGTTGTTGTTGCTGATTCAATCCATTTTGGAGAGTAGTTGCTGCCAAACTTGAAGTGTTGTTGTTTGATGTTATTTTTAACTCACTTTAAGCTTCCGTAAACACATCAACACCCTACAAACTCAATAGGTCAAATAAGTCACAAATGTGATAGATAGCCACTTTGTAAGACTCAAACACAAGATCTCTAGGTAATCTACTTAGATGGCTAAAGTCTTGTCACCACAAGGCTAGTGGTTAATTTGTCTTTCGTTGTTGGTATAATTTTCTACGCTATTAGTGTGAAACATTTTTTCATTGGCGTACTTTTTAACTAGTTAGCGTATTAAATTACGTCGATCGGAAAGAGGTGAATAACAAGATACAATAATTTTAAGTTAACATAAAAAATGAAAAAAAATATATATATTTTTAAGGTCTAAATGTATTTTAAATTATAGGGATTTTGATTTTTAGGAAGGTGCATTTTAAAGTTTAGATGTGTTTGATTTTAATTTTAAGGTTTGATTTTGATTTTTATGAATTCCGATTTAGGGTTGGAATTATCTATTTTTTAGGGATTTTTTTCAATGTAATAATTTTTTTCATTTATAAATTTTATAATATTTTTAAAAAATATTAAAATATTTTGAAATTAATATAAAATATATTAATTAAGTTACAAATTATATATTTATCAATAAAGTTGTTAAGTTAAAAAAAAAAAAAAAATTATAGGTAGTAAGGGTAAAACGGGGATTTAAGTGGTCAAAGTCGATCAACCTTTTAACCAATATCAACTTTGAAGCTAA